CAAAAATGCGTCCGGCCAGGGTCAGGATCTGTTGTGCAGCAAATACTCCAGCATGGTCTTGTCAGTCATCTCTCCTTATTCTCAACCATGACAACAACAGCAAAGTTAAAGAAACTCAGAGGCAGACTGGAAACTCAAAGTAATGTATCGTTGTCAAACTCAAGGCCATTAACAAATGCCTCAGGAACAACCGAGTCAAAATGTCATGATCAAACAGAAAACAAGTCAAAAGCTCACAAACAACGAGGGTGAATAGATCGTACATGCTCAGAACTCACCACAGGATCCGTCTGCTGCACTACGCGTCTCTCTGGCTGTGGGCAGTAGCAGTACAAGGGAGCCGACACTACAATTCTCAGCACTACCCAGAATTCCTCTGTCCTGCACCTCAGCGCCATCAATCCCGAAACATGACACCCACTACAACACTATACTGCAAAACATCACTACGAAACAGCCATGACTTGGAGCTGCAGAAGTGAGCACTGTACACAAAACCATGTGCCCGTGAAGAGGGCAGGGCCTTGCGGACGCCCACAGCTCCCTCTCCTCCACTGAGATCTTGCCATTCACATCTCTTTGTTACTGTGTGCTGTATCTGTCTATCTATGAGTCTATCTAGCAAACCCAGGCGTGATCTGTTCACTATGGGAGTTGGGTTTGTCAGGCCAGTGTGTGGCGGATCTATAAACCTGCTAGTGTGTCGATGGACCGTCTGCTGTGCAGTGATGGTGCCTGAACTACCAGGATGGGTCTGAGCTGCATGAAGCGTGCCAACACTTAGCCAGGAGCAATGTGAGCAAAATGAATGACTGTGGACTGTTCACGTGCAGCGGGTTGCTTTGGGGAATTATAAAACACACAAACACGCATGTTCTGTTCTGTTCTCTCACACACGTGGTATATCGCTCAAGTTTCAGTTTCGCTATTATCAGACACTGGGTCTAGATACTGCATATAGAGTTGTACTGTACTTTCACCATTTAAAAAAGTTTTCATTTAAAGGGGTCATATGATGCGATTTCTATTTTTCCTTTTCTTTAGTGTGCTATGTAGCTATTTGTGCATGTATAAGATTTGCAGAGTTACAAAGCTCAAAGTCTCCCACAAAAGGATTTATTCTATCTAAAAGAGAAGGCTGATCCAGACACGCCCCCACATCTCTACATCATGATGTGGAAATATTAGCATAATGCCGCCCAAATGTTCATGCAAAGAAAGAAGGCGTGGTTTCATGAACCGCAGTAGTGTTGATGCAGCCATGTCAGGGAGACGCTGTGTGTTTCTGTGCGAAAACAAAAGCACTTTATTTGGCCTTCCGAAAGTAGATGCAATGAGGATTCATTGGTTAAGATTGATTTACAACAGAACAGCACAACCCAGATGTTCGAATTTGTGCAACGCATTTTATGGACAGCAGTTTTGTGAACCTAGGAGAGTAGCCTACAAGGCTGGCTGTGCAAAGGCTATTTCTAAAAAAAAATACGATTTATCATATTCATGTACTATTCACATTATGCTTCAGAGAGCACCACAGTACTTCTGGTCATTTATTAAGTGCACTGAATTGTTCCAGCAAACTTTAGGATTGTCTGACTGTAATCTTACCGTTCAGTACAGCCACCTGTGTTCCTCCGCATGCCGCCTGTCTGACTCGACCCACACCCCTCAGGGGCAGCAGCCGTGGAGAGCTCATCTGAAAATCAGACTTTACAAATGAGCTGCACAGCCTGTCATTGTTAGTGCATTGGCCTTTTTACATATAAAATTCCTTATAAGTGTCAATTCTATGACAGTGAACAATCAGTTCAATCATTTTTGATATTTGTTTGCCAGTTGTGCCCTTTACCTGTGTGGCCTCAGTGACAGAGGCCAGCTGCAGGTACTCCGAGTTTCCCCAACCAAAAACCTGCCCCTCCGTGGACACGGCCAAACTACAGTCTCCATATGTGGCCACCTGCTGAACTTTGACCCCAGCCAGATCTCCTCCGACGGGCACTGGACAGGAGGCCTTGCTGTGATGGCCCAAACCTTAAAATTTAAAAGACATGAATCCTGAGGGAAGGGTCACATGGTCTGATGTGTTCAAGTATCAGCCATGAGTCACCGCGTGTTGTCTGGATACATTTTTTTTGTGGCAAGTTTCATAAAGGAGTGGAACAAAAAGAGGGACTGAAAGGAAAGAGACCGAGATAATGACAGACAGATGGTGAAACAAACCTGTTTGTCCGTCTGCCCCCCACCCACAGGCGTACACTGAGCCTCTGTCTGTTAGAAACAGACTGTGATCCTGCCCACAAGCCACCTACAGGATGAGAGGAGCAGGACAGATGGAGTGAGACTCACAAAAAAGGTCCAGGTAATTGCCTTGCCTTGCCTATAAATAATACTTTGCATAAGGAAAATTAAGCTTATTAAAACCATAAATACTTTTGCACTGTGATATTTTCATGGTAATCATTTAAGGTAATTAAACACATTTAACCCCAAATTGTCAATATCGTAATGCTAGGAAAAAAACATGTCTAGTAATAAAAGCCATCCTGTTCATTTTCTTAAAGGGGTCATATGATGCGATTTCTATTTTTCATTTTCTTTAGTATGTTATGCAGCTATTTGTGCATGTTCAAGATTTGCAAAAATACAAATCTCAAAGTCTCCCACAAAAGGATTTATTCTATCTAAAAGAGAAGGCTGATCCAGACACGCCCCCACATCTCTACATCATGATGTGGAAATATTAGCATAATGCCGCCCAAATGTTCATGCAAAGAAAGAAGGCGTGGTTTCATGAACCGCAGTAGTGTTGATGCAGCCATGTCAGGGAGACGCTGTGTGTTTCTGTGCGAAAACAAAAGCACTTTATTTGGCCTTCCGAAAGTAGATGCAATGAGGATTCATTGGTTAAGATTTATTTACAACAGAACAGCACAACCCAGATGTTCGAATTTGTGCAACGCATTTTATGGACAGCAGTTTTGTGAACCTAGGAGAGTAGCCTACAAGGCTGGCTGTGCAAAGGCTATTTCTAAAAAAAAAGGGTAAATTCCGACTTTGCTATGACAATCTGGCGCGTATTCTGAATCTGCTACTGTAAGTATGTTTTCTTAACAGTTTAAGTATTTGCTATTGACTGTTCAAACGCAGAGTTTTGCGGCCGTGTATCGTGACGTGTGTGTGTGTGTGTGTGTGCATGCGTGAGAGAGAGACAGGGTCACATCACAGTGGAGTAAGCTTTCTTAATCCCGGCTTGTGTACTGCAAATACAAACGAGGATCATCACTGTGTCTGTCACGCGACTCTGTTCCCCTTTCGGACTTGAACTGATGGTAAAACTAAGGACATTATGTACTGTCTTTACATTTATGTTGAAAGCTGAAGCTCGTGTTTATGGAAAGGGGAGTTGCATTTCCGACGCGTGCTTGTGGTGTTCGGCCAATCACAATGCACTGGGTCAGCTGGCCAGAGCAGACTGCGCTTGTCGGAAGGAGAGAGTACAGTATGGCAGAGTATCTGTACACAGTGTCAGATAAGAAACTGAGAGGCACGTTGACCAGATACAGACTCAGCGCACACAAGCTGATGATAGAGACGGGCAGACACAGAAAAACATGGCTGCCACCGGAGCAGAGACGGTGTTCACACTGTGATCTGAATCAGATGGAAACAGAACTGCACTTCCTAACAGAATGCCCCAAATACACAGATATACGGACAGTGTTCTATGATCAAATACAGCAGATCCATCAGACATTTCAAACTCTTATCAAACCAGGAGAAAGTGGCGTATCTGTTAGGAGAACAGAAGAACTGCTGTGTGTTTGCTGCTCAATATGTGTCTGCCTGTCACCATAGAAGAGAAAGCACTCACCCTGCCCTGATCTGATGTTTCCAGCACATCTACATTATATTAGGCCAAATTACTCTATATTATTTAGATGTATATTTTGCTTCTGTAAATATGTATAATCCCTTATTTTATTTTTATTTCTAGTTTATATACTTACTTACATTAGTAATTCATTTTGCACTACATGCTTAATACTTTTTATATTATTATTATTCTTTTTCTTTCTGTTAATACATATGTGCACTATTTGTAAGCAGTCCAGCTGCAATTGCTTTGGCAATACAAATGTATAATTTTTGTCATGCCAATAAAGCACTCTTAAATTGAAATTGAGACAGAGAGACAGATAGATAGACAGATAGATCGATCTCAGTGTTGTGCCGGCTGACTGCAGGATTTGTAGGTTATGTCCATAAGTCTATAACAGAGTCAAACATATTTAGAGGCTAATATAGATGTGTGTCTTTAACTGATGGCAAACAGGTTGAGACATTAATTCATGCTTGTCATGGTTTATGGCACCTAGGAGACATTCATAATAAATTTAGTACAGCTCCAAATTCAGCAACATATTCAGAACGAGCCTAACTGCATAAAGGCAATGATTTCTTTCTGTCATTTATCTGCTCATAGCAGAAATATGGAGAGGCCATTTTTCAGAAGCCGATGCTTGTTTGCTCTCTCTCTCGAATGCTCTTTTCTCCACAGACTCCAAAAATCAAAATTTGAATGATAAATCAGGGGAAATGACAATCAAGAGTATTCCTGACCACACAGGCTGACAGAAGAGGATGGAACAATGGAGATATACTCAGGAAGGCAGGGTGCCAAAATGAGATCTGCTGAACACACTGTAAGCAAGCCAAGCTTTTATTTTATTGGTGCACATATTGAGTGTCAAGAACCGGGTGTGAATTATGGCGGGATTTGGGGGTATGCCACTCACCTCCAGGTACGGGACAGGAGAGATGGCGGGAAGTGGGTATTCTTTCAGTGTTCGCTGTTCATCCAGGAACTTCCCGGCTTTGCTGTTGTACGCAGGCTGAAAGAGGCCATAGTTTAGCACATCCTTCAAGCTCTGGTTGAGAGTGCAGAGGATTCGTTGTTTAGACAACCAGATGGGAGACTCCACATTAAACTTCATGCATTTCTGCAGAGGAAACAAAAAGAGAGACGTGATGAGTCATGAAAACCCCATAATGCAACAGCAAACCTAAAGATTCTTTAATATAATTAAAAAGATTGGGGTCGATAACATTTTTCAAAATATTTTGAAAGAAGTCTTTTATACTTAACAAGGCTGCATTTATTTGATCAAAAATACAGTAAAAACAGTAATACTGTGAAATATTATTACAATTTAAAATAAGTTTTCTATTTGAATATATTTTAGAATGTAATCTATTCCTGTGATGCAAAGCTGAATTTTCAGCATCATTACAGTACTCCAGTCACATGATCCTTCAGAAAATATTATAATATACTGATTTGCTGCTCAGGAAACATTTCTTATTATAATCAATGTTGAAAACAGTTGTGCTGCTTAATATTTTGTGGAAACCTTAATGCATTTTTAAAGAGTTTTTTGATAAATAGAAAGTTCAAAAGAACCATTAATTTGAGATATATATTTTGTAACATTAAAAGTGTCTGTACAGTCTACAACAAACAAACATTGCATCATCTTCTCCTGACATTGGTATTCATTTAGTATAGTACAGCAAAAATAACTAGTACTTTTTATTTTGGTGGAAACTGAAGTTACCATGGAAAACTTTTGGCACTCTGTTGGTTTATTTGTAACAAATAACATAAGTTATGAATATTTGTTCAATATGAGTATAATATGAAGTTTTCTGTACTAATAAAAATAAGTTACTGATGATGATATAAATGTCCTTTGAGGTTCTTTTGTATGTGACGCCCTCAACGTCTTCCCAGAAATATTTCATACTTATTATTGCCCCAAAATCAACAGTGAAGATTTGAGAGTGAACCCACTGTCAAATCAAGCAGTGTATCAATAAAAGCCTCTCACCCGTGTCTTTGTCCTCTATACCATTACTAATAACACACAACCCCTGCCCTTTCCACAGTACTCTGATTACTAGGGCTGGGTATTGTTCAAAATGTTTTGATATTGATACAGATACCGATACCGATACCTTGACTTCGATACCAGTTCCTGAACGATACATTTTTCGATACCAATTTTATGAAATCAATTTGAACAAGATTACATTATCTAAAAAAAATAACTTTTTCAGCTTGTTGACGTTTATACAAACTGAAAGACTCATCTCCTGAGCCACTGCACAAAGAAACAAAATGTAACCAACACTATAAATCAGTGCAAAATAGTTTTAATAAAGCTCAAATAGTCTTCGGTTTACACATCTCTCTTCCATGATCGCTGCTCTGACTCAGAGGTAATAACATATTTAATTTCAGCGACATTACATGGCCAAAACACACATTAGACGGCAATCGGAAGTTATTACAAACACTCGATGGTGGTTTAAAATGAGTTTTGAGTAAAAGCGGAATATAAATCTTATTTATTGTCTTATGTAGCATGACGCGGATTATGTGGATTATACATAACACGCGCTTTCGGTTGTGTAACGTTAGTATGAACGGACATCTGCATATGATCGGAACTCCATGCAGCTCCCGCGCTACTCTCCATTGGAAATGAATGACCGGTCTGTCGCTTGTCGTTTGTCAGAGATAGTGGAAAGCCGGCTTGAAATGCAGTGGAAACGCCAGTATGACGAGGATCGTTTTCATTTTAAAACATAAAAGCACCAGTGTAAATGTAGTCTTACATCTATGGGGGCTGGGACGCATACACACTACAGCCTCATGTGTGCGCCACATCTCTGAGTGTAACCAGTGTAAACTAGTAGGTGTGTTCAACTTGACAAGCACCGACCGTGCAGACCGATCAATGTATTACAGTACCACGAGAGCTAAAGAGAGCAGACTGCTCCGAGTGCTTTCGAATCGCTCTCACGGATGATCGATCTGCGCCGCACCTCTTCTAGTCGAACACACCAGCTAGTGCTCCAGGCTTATTGGCTCACTGACACTGATGAGATTAACCCCTTAGGTATTGAAATTTGGTACCGAACGACGAGACATTTTTCGATACTCGACGGTATCGAGGCAATTCGGTCGATGCCTAAAAAGTATCGAACTCGATACCTAGCCCTACTGATTACTAGAGGCAGAGATCCAGCAGACCACCGGGACAGAGAGAGAAAGCAGGAGTGAGAGAGGCTTTCAGCACTTTTATTTGCTTCTCCTCTCAGCAAATACGACATCAACTGCAGCTTTGAACTCTTGTCTACTGCATTTATTTTACCAGAGAGCCCAGTATTAAGGAGACAAAGATGGGAAGGAGAGAGGATATCAGTCTCCAATACACACACACGAACATAAAAAGAAAAGCGTTTCAGAAACTTGTAATTGTGTGCAGAATTCCCCTGAAGTTAAGCCTGCGTTTCGTTCTGTTTTCCCGGGGATAACAACAGCCTCCACCGTGGTCGTTCCTCTTGATTTTCAGTCTTAAATCACTCTTTTCTGTGTTTATCTTCGCTCACACTGACAGGCGACTGAAGCGCATTCAGCTCTATTAAACTCAGAACAAGAGTAAAACCAGACCTCTATTCAACATACAAATGAAACTGACGCCTCAATACAATAATCTCAGGTCACACTTCCATTCTTTTTTCTGACAAGAACCTATGGACAGCACAAATTAAATACTAAAAATGTACAATAAAAGAAGAGCCAAAAGTCTGCCAAAATGTATGGCATTTTTCACAAAGTTTTGCATGCTATACACACACACACACATAATATTATATATATATATATAATTATAACTAATTTATTAACAATAACAACACTGATACACTAAGTGTGTGTGTAAACAAAAAATTATAGAAATAGATACATCTCATACAATTTAAGATTCTTCACTGTGCTTATTACACAAAATCTAGACTTTCTAAAATCTATATCATAATGTTGATGATAGGTGTGATCATGCAAATATAATGAGGCTGACTTTATTCATATGTAAAGCTGAGAAACTACTGGGCGTTTATGTTCAAAACACTAAACAATGTTTTTAACTTCTGCTATTTTTGGAGTACCAGAACATGGAGTATTTTGACTAACAATGTGAAAAATGTTACTGCTTTGGCCTCTTTATTAGAAAGGAGAAGAAGATCGTTGGAATGGAAGTCAAAGAATCCATTGAAAGTCTTCAATGTGGATTTGTGACCTGATATCATATTTAAAATTAGAGAAAATAAAATATCTAAAAAAAAAAAAAAAGGATCTGTTCAAAACTTCTACAGAATTTGGAAACCCATAATTATATAGTTTGTGTATCATATACATGATACATATTTTGTGTATACTATTGGCTATTTTGTATGGTATTAACACTATTATTATTTATTTTTAATTATTCATTTTTTTTATATATGTTTTAATTTATTGTGGCGGAAGGGGGTGGGGTTGGGAAAATGTACAATTTTGTATTTGTATGAAGATTTTTGTTGAAGCGTGCCTTAGAAAAGTTGATAAAGTACAAAATAAGATACAGTAAATAGAAAAAATAAAAATGACAAACACACATAACAAAATTACTAAAACTAAAATGCCAACTGAAATTAAAAAAATAAAGGCTAAAACATTAATAAATAATATAATAGTATGTAAATAATACTAAAACAGCACTGATATAAACACTGAGTATATACAGTACAGTATAAATAATGTTGTAAGTATAAATATTAAAAATTATTGCATTTTGTCTGCGTTTATATCACAGCCCAGAATAATTACTGAATGGAAGGGTTTGGGACTGTGTCATAGTTCATTTTTAATTAGACAGGACTTTATTTATTGATATCTTTCGCCACTGACTGAGGTTTCACTGAGGTTACTGCAGTGCATTCTGGGACTGCCTGTTTAGAATGGCCTTAGACTGCCTTAGGATTGATTTAGAATTTAGACCAATTAAGTTATCTTAAAGGGAAGGTTAATTTTGCTGCCAACTTTTTGGAACAACCTTTGAATCAGGAAATGCTGTCTATGTATTGGCATCACTAGGTTTTGGAACAAAACTATACTTCAAACACACATTTCTTTACAAATAAGCAAACAACACTTTCCATTTGTTTCTTTGTCCACAATTTAGCCAGTGTAGTTAGCATGCACACATGTCCTCAAATGCTCACCGCCCATATCGGCAGGGCAGTTCTCCCACAATCCAGCAGTGCTGATGTGATTCCCTGAACTCATGGATTGATGCTGATAGTATTAGCCTGAGGAAATTCATAACAGGGCTCTATTGGCATCAGTTTAGGAGAGAGAGATTCCTAACAATGCATTGATTGAGCTGCATGCATACAGCCACGCACAATGGCTGGAAAATGCTGTGGATTTGCTCAATAGGGCTCTGGTAAGCAGGCTGGTTTTCAGCAGGCCTCAAGAGAAATTTGGAGTAGAGATATAAAGCACATCTGGAGAATGAGACAGGGACGGTCCATCACTGTCACACACATGCAGGTGCACACAAACACATCACATTATGCATGCATGCACCGAAAATGCCATAACGCTGCGTTTTTATGCATTAAACCATTTCAAGGAGTAGTTATAAATAAGCATGAATATATAATTGGGGTTCTAGTTATTCACAAGAGCATACTGATTAGTATATTCAGTGTAGGCATTAGTGCATTAAGAATATCTTTATAAATATTAGTATCAGGGTGCGAACTACGGGGGAGCTCGGCTCCCCTTAATAAGACCTGGGCTCCCCTGAAAATGGGATTTGTGAAATTTTGGGGGCTCTCAAAAAATATTGACAATGTGTTATTTTGACGTGCAATTTCAGTGTTGTGTAATGTGATCATCGTGGGTTATTATGTGTAAACATGCATGACGGCGATTTAAACCTAATTCACTTCAATAAAGATAACTATACATGCTATTCTTGTCATGAGCATCAAGGTGTGGGGGCGCTGCGGTGCAAATTCCACTCATGTTTAGTACGTCAACTCAAAGATTCGTAGAAAAAAATATAAACGCTGGACTCTGTCTGTGGTCAATTCTGTGTTAAGGTAA